GAGCCAATGAACTAACAAAGCCATCCTTCTTCAACAGACCATTGAGGCTTCCAGCTCGTAGAACACGTTACCATTATCCCAATTATAGCCATGCAATGTGGGGTCTAAGAACAGCTAGATGACCTGACACAATCACTCTCCGGTGTGGTTGTGCTGGGTTTTTTGTTTGTTTTGTTTTAAACATGTTCTCATATAGCTCGGAACGGCCTGCGAACTCACTACGTAGCTGAGGATGACCTTGAACTTCCGACTCTCCTGACTCAGTCTCACCTGAGCTGGGATGACAGTATGCATTACCGAGTGTGCCGTCTCGGAGCAGGGACTTCTGACTCAAGAGTTTGAATGAAGCCCCCCATTATTCTGTAGCCAGAACACATCATTGCCATACCCGCAAGACTCAGGGATTTTTGATGTCTCAAGCTGGAGATCGCTGAATTCTTATCTTCGTTTAAAAAAAAAAAAAGAATTTATCTGACCAGTGACAACACATGGGTTTTCTTGAATTATTAAACATAGTTTACAGCTAGGCTCTTTTTCATATAAACGAGGGAGAAAATGGAAGAGTACTCTTCATTTCCATAGTGGTTAATTTGACTTAGTGCCTTATATTTATGTTTCCTACCTTTCTTTGAAGATTGTGATCTTTACAACCATGGTAAGAAAGGCAAAGAACCCCCCACAGAGAGCCAGCAGTGAGTCTGGCCTTGGGTTGCTTACTAAGGTGATAGGACCAAGAAGGGTGGGTATGTGTCCTGGGAAAGGAGCCATTGTAGAGTTGAGAAATGGCCTCAACCAAGAGGCAACAGGCATAGAAACAGAAGCAGAGAGGAAGAAACACAAGTCACAGGTCTGCCAGGGCCCCCTAGCCCTTGCAAAGGCTGCCTTCCCCAGTATGGAGCCTCTGTCTATTCATTCCCATGTCACTATCAATCTTAAGATCACCACTGTGGCATTACCGTCTCCGCAGACATTTCCTGAGTCCTTTTGCCCCACTTCCTTCATCCTTTAATAAATCCTACAGCATTTACACCTGACTCACGCACTCCTGTTCTCTCTGTGTGTGCACACATGTGTGGATAGGTACAGAGTCCAGAGGACACCCTCTGGTAACACTTCTCAGAAGCTGTCCACTTCATTCTGTTTGAAAGTGCTTCTCATTGGCCAGGAACTTGCAAAACTAAGCCAGGCTGGCTGCAGAGTTATCCTGAGTGTCTGCCTGTCTCCACCTCCCCAAGCTGGGATTATAAATGTGCATTGTCACGCCCAGATTTTTGTTTGTAGGTGGGTTGTAGGGATCAAACTCAAGCATTGAATGACTGAGCTGTCTTTCACCCCGAACCCCAAGCCACCCCCATTCTTTATTACAACACAAGCCTGGTGGGCTCCTTCCTCCAACAGCAACTTTGCAGATTATTCACGGGATACCAGATACCCAGAAACTGCTTAAGAAATGCTGGTCGAACAACATTCTGAATTCTGTCCTCTTTGGGTAAAACATGATGATAGACTTATAAAATGTTTATTTAAAAGAAGATAATTTTCAAGGAAAGTTCCTTAAGGTCCTAAAACTTGTTTTGTACTGTACTAAATCAGTGATTTTTTTTTTCTCTCTTAGTTTGGGGGAGGAAAGGAGTCTAGCTAGACAACCCAACTGAGGTATCTCGGAAATATTGGGGAAAAGGGACCAAATGCTGACACTTTCTATAGCCAGGCAACTCTGCCAAGTTTACCCTGAGTGTAGAATCTTTTAGTGCTAAGTAGAAAAAAATCTCTATCCTGTAAAACTGCATGGAATTTCTGCTTCTAGCCAGGGCACCAGTTATTCACAGTGGCTCTTGAAATGCTCTGAGCACATTGCCCAAATGGGCACCAAATAAAGTGAAAAATCTTAGCTTCATATTTTAAAATGAGTTTTGCTTCCAGGTGACGGACTGGGCAGGCTGTGATGGGCATGGGCAGGGCTAATCCTTTGTCCAGTCCCCAGGGATCATTCTGATCTGAAAATCAAGTCATCCAGACAAACACTAGCCTGAGACTTCTCACTCCTGGACGCACACCTTCCGCCTTCCACTGAACCTCTGCTTCTCCTCGGGCTGTTTTAGTGTTGAATCTGAGCTTCTGCTGGGGCCTGGTGGGACTGGAGCTCCATCTTTGAACTGGAAGGTTTTTGCCATCTTGCTCGTCTCCTTTCCATCAGGTGTGACTGAGTGACAAGTGTGTACACCATGGACATGTCTTTTCTCCAAAGAGTCCCGAGTCCCTCTGTTACCATGTGACCCAGGACAGGGTGTGTGTGTGTGGGGGGGGGGGTGACTCAATTCTCTAGAGAGAATCCGTTAGTTCAAACTGTATGGGTGGCTTGGGATGACTCTGAACTCAGGATTTTTCTGCGTAAGTCTCCAGAGAGCTGGTGTTACTGGCATGCACCACCACACCCAGCTAGCTTCTATGATAAAACGCTGAGTGTTGACTAACTCCAGGTCTTCTGCTCATTACAGAGACCGTTTATATAACACCAGGAGTAGTGTCAGCAGGTATACGCTTGCCATCTTCTTTTTCTTGGTTATGAAACAGACGCATAGGACGGATAAATAACCTAGTCAAGACTACCCAATGAATAACCAGCAAAACTGGGTGTCCCAATTTCCCCTTACCCCCAGATCTCCTCCTCACTTTCCTCCTGCCCTCCAGCGGTCACGCCATCATTTTGAATACAAGGAATGGCTCTTGGGGACATCCTGGTCTTTCTTTTCTCAAGTTTCATATTTGACACCTCAGCTTCCCTCCCATGCCACTGAATCAAAACAGAACTCCCTCAACAGACACACAGCTCCCACCTTTCCCCGGTCTGCTCACTGGCTAGCTCCACAGAGGGAACTTTCACATGCAAGTCAGATTGCAGCTCCCCTCTTCCAAAGGCCAAGTTCTCGCAAGGCCTCGCATCCTCTGTCCCCAGTCACCTCACTGACTGGGACCCTTGCTGAGACGTACTGCTAGCTCCTTACTTTGTTTCAGACGCCAGAGGTCTCGGGCCTCAGGGTCTTAACATTAGGGCTCTTAGTTTGGAAGCTTCTACCCTCTTCAGCCCTCCTGTGGCTTCACAGTTAACTTCCTCGCTATCCAGGGCTCTACCCAAATGCCACCTTCTCAGTGTGTCCCCTTCAGGGTTTACACTGGAACCCACTCACCGAGGCACTGCCAAACTCTCTTATTTCGTTTTTCTCTATCACGTATATTATATTTTAACATAGCATGGAATCATTTCTTCTCTTTAGTGCTCATTGTGTATTCCCCACCCTCTGTCTACTGATGAACCCTAAGTTCCTAGGAGGCTTCATCTTACAATCAATTACCGTTTATTAGGTAGATGAAAGAATGGACTTGCATCTCAAATATTAGGGTGGTGATAATTTTCTCATGGACTAACAGAACAATCTCAAGTGAAAAGGAAACAAAGCAGAATATATTGGAAAGTGATTTTAATCAAGAGTCCATTGAACTGGAAACTTGGTGACGTAATCGGAGAAAGGCAGTTTAAGGTAAGATGGGGGTTAGAGTGAGTTGAGAAGATACAGTGGACATTTCCTGGGAATTATTTAAACTTTGCAACACATTGGTAAGGCCACCCTTTCTTCTTCAGAGACTCAAATTTAAATTAGTAGTCTTGTGTTTTCATACCACAAGCTAAGTCAGTCCTAAGACTGTTCACTTTCCAACTTCCCTGTCCTTGAGGTCTGAGAGGCATAATTATTTGTCTGTAGTGTGGTCAGACATAATAAATAATTATTATCTCCGCAGGGTGGTGGAGAATACTTCTAAGCAGGAATTAGCAAGGACAGTCATGCCCATCATGAAACTCGGCCCCCTGTGCATTTCGAAGGTAAATCATATTTGCCTTGTCTGGCTTTAGGGCTCAACTGCTATCTCTCATCTACCTGCAACACTATTAAGGACACAACACCAATTTCCAAAAAGTTCTAGCAACACATTTTCCAATGGCTGATCAGGGAGGAGCTTTGCAGACATACTCATTGACTTCCTTCATTGCTAGAAAGATCTAATGGAAGGCATTTACTTAGTAAAAGAAAGAAAACTCCAAGTAATGGTAGCACAAACATTCCCATTAGGGGATAAGGGAGCTGAGCCCGAACCGCCGAGGTAGGCTGAACTTGGAGACAGTGACTCTGCTAAGAAGGGGCTTCACAGGCCCAGGTGTTCCCTGTCAGGCCCCCACTTGCCTGCATTACCTCCTCAGAAGGCCTTGGGATCGCCAACACCAGGGTTCATGCTCTAGGGTATGTGAGGCGAAGGTGTCTCACGCACTCCCTCTCTTTTAAACATATAGTTTCGATTTATTGGACATTACATTTAAAGAAAGAAACCAGCTCCTCAGGTGACTTTAGAGGTGGTTAGAAGTAAGAACTGCCTGGCGGGATCCATGTTGTAGGAGCCAACAGAGAATACTTTGTGTCCCTAAGGCGAGGCCCCTTCCTTCTCGCTCCCCGGCTTCATCTGTTTTCTTTTTCCCCTAGACTATTTCCACAATCACAGGAACAAGTTCCCATTGTTCCTGTCCTAAACAACAGCTCCTCTATAAAGTCTATGCCTTTCTTTAGCTGGTGCCCATTTCTTGCTTCTTAAAACAGAACAAAATAAAACACACAGACTCTTTAAGATATATTTTATATGTTGTCCAATTCCTTTCTGTCTCCCCAGTCGTAAGGGTACCTGACTCAGGGGCCACCCTCACTACAGCCTGTGTAGTATAGAATCTCCTACACAGGCTGGGGCAACCAGGGATCCTCCTCAGTACCAGGGACAGAGAACCGGAGAGCCTGACACAGGCACCACAGTAAACCACACCCGACCCAGATGCATCAGGGCTTGGCGGACAGAACAAAGAATCAGAAAGCATTTCATGTTTGATGCTGGCGAAGGCTGGGGCTTGGGGAGAGCAGTTGAAAACGATAGTGACGATGGAATGGAAGGTTGTGACTTACACAGTGTGTTGTGGTGATGATGACGGAACTGGAGATGAAGGACAGGCCATCGTTCATGCTCACCTGCAGTGCAGCTTTCCTGCAATGACAAGAGGACCGGATGCGCTTAGCATGGGGTGCTGCTAGCAGCAGCTCGAGAGCCAGACAGCATGCTTACTTCCCTGTGGGGTCCGAGGACAGTCTCTCAGGGCCACACACCTGTGACATCCAAGAGATGCTGGGATGTGTTCAGCTGGCATGTCAAGGTAGGATGTTAACTTTGCATTGCAGTGAACTTCAGTGGGCAAGGAAAGCCTACCTCATTTGTCCTGTTTGCTATACTTGGTAATAAGATAAAGCTTCCTTCCTTCCTTCCTTCCTCCCTCCCTCCCTCCCTCCCTCCCTCCCTTCCTTCTTTCCTTTTTCCTTCTTTCCTTTTTTGAGAGAAGGTGTCTGTGTGAAGCCCTGGCTGCCCTGCGACACAGCCCTGGAGACCAGGCTAACCTTGAAGTTAGGATCCACTTGCTTCTGCCTCCTAAATGTGGGATTAAAGTTCTGCTCTCTCATCCCATTAGATAAAGCACCTTAAGATCCATCCAAGTCAGCAGGGATAATTGGGCAAACTGTAGGCTGCATGCCCAGCTCTCGTTAGTGAGGACTCAGAGGTCTGATGGGGAAGTTTTGTGGGTCCCTGTAAGACTCGTGGAAAGACAGCTTATGGACAGATTGGTTTGTCTTCTCCAGACTCTGTCCATAAAGTCTCACGGAGATAAGACCTCATACCACACTATATGATTTCGGGGTGGGTAGCAGGCCCAGTGTCACAGGCTGACTGCGGACACTTAGTCGGAGTTGGGACAAATGGTGAAAGGGGACTTTAATGCTTTCCTTGGACGCCATCTCCAGACTGCTGGGCATGGTCTGGAGAGGCTCTTTTTGCTCTGTAATCGTCTGGGCGCTGGGCCCCAGAGTCCTACCCTAGCTCAGGGTGCTGACCCTCTTTATGGACATCTCGCCAGCACTTATCTTAACGGCACCGTGAGGTGTTCCCTTATGTGAGGCCAGGGAACGGAGGGGAGCACCTGAAGCTCTGTGGAGGATCCAGAGTGGTGCCGAAGGTCATGAACCACGGCACTTACTTTGCCTTTCTGAGTTTCTTTGTCTTGAAGGAACAGATAACAGCCACTTTCTAGGGCACAGATGATGACAGGGTGAGGTAATACATGTGAGAACTTTCTAGAAATGCGGTTGGGATTGAGTCAGCAGACCCAGGCTTGAGCCCAGACTCTTCCACTGGCTCCTGTGTGACCCTGGACAAGTTATTTAAATCTTTCTCTCTGGCCTGAATGAGAGTTTGTTGTGAACTACAGAGGATGAAAGAGATGCTCAGTCACCCTCCTGGTGGCTGGTTTTCCATAGCTTGGCACCATCACCGTTGACAGAATCTAGAGAAAGTCCCTGATGACAATGAAAAAGCTACCACTGCCCCCCGGGTTCCTCTGCCTCCTCTTCCCCGGCTGTGGGACTCTGTGGACGATGAAAACTTACATGCCAACTTCTTTTAAGATGGGTGCTGGGCACAGCAAGTACGTGTCTTCCACAGCAAACGGCTTCTCATCTGCGAAAAAGAAGTCGCGAGGTTACGTTTCCCAATTCAGTGTCTTTGGAGGTCATTAACCAAGTCTAGAGGGACCAGATGAAAGCAGAGAAGTGTGTGAAATGAAAACTTCTCCTGCACTGAGTTATGCTTGTAATATGAAATGTCCCCTGAGCGCTTGCTGTTGAAACCAAGTGCCATGCTGGTGGGGGCGGGGCCCAGCTGGGGGAAGCAGTCACTGAGGGGCTGTGTCTAAGGCTAGATATTGCCCTAACCCTACTGGTAGCTCTCTCCTCTTTCTGGTAGTGGACTCTGTCTCTTTCTATGTTTTTGTCTCTCTGCCTCTCTCTCTCTATATCTCTCTGTCTCTGTCTCTCTCTATACACACACACACAAACCACACACACACACATACACACAATTTGTCTCTTTCTCTCTGCTCTAGCCCCTTCCCTGGCTGCCATGAGACAAGGTACTTTCTTCCTTCGCCCGCTTCCGACTTGATGGACTGAAACTTATAAGAAGTTTGCTTTCCTTGTTTCCCTTGGGTATTTGCCAGAGCAGCGGAAAGCTGAAATATATACTAGACCCTCCCCACAGAGTAGCACCCCAACATGTGTGGTAGCATCCACTAAAGAAGAACTAATCAAGACCTCCTCCCTAGCGCTGGTCTCCTGGTCCCACGTCCACTGAGATAGCCCTTTTACAGCACAGTTTGAGTTTCCTGTTCTCTTCGGGAGAGCTGAGGGGTTCTAAGGGGAGTCACATCTACGCCCACTTTGAGGCCATCTTCATGGAGAAGATGAGCTGGCAAACACAAGCAGAACACCCAAGTATCGCTGGGTTTTAGAAGGCAGGAAGCTTCTTTTCCATGATCCCGTGGTCAGGTTTCAGGAAAATCCAAATAGGAGTTGCGTTTTATTAGGGAACTGGAAGGGGAGGGGCCTGGCATGAGCCCCTAGGGCAGAAGGTCAGTGTGCATTGTAGTGATTTTAGGAGAAGTTATTCAACGTGCTCGTCTTTAGCACATATAGCCTTTGCAGAGACAGCTAGCTGATAAAGTTCTGTGTGCAAGGAGAGATCCCAAGTTCAGATCCTGAGATCCATACAAAGCCAGGTAGGGTGGTGGACGCTTGAAATCCCAGCACTGGGGAGGCAGAGACAGGCAGATCACTGGAGTTCACTGACCAGCCCCGCTAACTGAACCACTGATTCCTTCTTGGATGGCATGTGGTCAGATGGGTGCAGGGTCTGGATGCCTGGCCAACAAGCTGCTTGCCACCTTGTCAGCCCTCTGCTAGTGACAGCCCTGGGAGCTAAGGCAGGGATGGAGCTTAGGTTTGCTCCCTCACCTTGAGTGTGTGTGTTGACTTCCTCTCCGCTTCTCCATCTCATTAGTGAGGTGGATTTTCTCAGTGACCCTGGGTCTTCCTGATTCAGTAAGAACGTCTGGCCAGCAAACCCTGGTTATCCTCCTGGCTCTATCTCCCCAGAGTTGGCATTGATGACAGGCTTACGTTGCTGTGCCCGGCTATTGATTTCTATTTCATACGTGGGTGCTAAGAGATTCAAACTTAGGTCCTTCAAACAGATTCAAACAGAGCACCTTACCCACAGAGCCACTTCCCCACCCCAGGATCATTTTTCAGATGCAAAAAAGGAGGTTCAGAAAGACAGGGCCATCTTGGATAGCAATAGACACAAAGCCTGGTTCAGACCCAAACTCTGCAGTATCCTGTCCTCACAGAGAGACTTCCAGCTCCAGGGAAGTCTGTATGAGGGAATAAGCCAAACTGTCCTGCGTGGCTGACTGGAACCTCTACTTATTTCCTCGTGGCTGTGGCTTATCCACAGCTTTTGCACCCAGTACCTGGGGTGCAGTTCCACCCACAGAGCCACAGGCAGCCACAGGGTGGCCCCAGAGGCCTTATGACTTTAGGCTGCAGGCTGTGGTTAGAGCTGGAAGGCTTCAGAGGAGGCCACAGCAGTGAAGTAGTCAGGGCCCCCGCAAGGGCTACATACACTGGTCCTGTGAGTTCCTGTCTCATCTCCCTGTCCTAGGTCACAAGGGCCGGGAGGCAGACTGTGGCCTCGGCAGTAGGACCTTTCTAATTCTCCTCCTCTTTTCATCTTCCTTTCCTGTTTGGGAGACCAAATATTTCTGGGGCAAAGCAGACGGGAGGATGGAGGGCTGTGGCTGACTGGGGTACAGCTCTGATGTCCCTGAGGTTGAACCCAGGCTGGGAGGCTGTGGGCTAGCTCTGTGGAGCTGGCATTTTCTGCCCTGAGAGGGACTGTTTGGTTTGGAGACTGTTTTCACTTTACCACAAAAATGAGTGGCTTTTTCCCCCTCTCTCTTTAAACAAAGAAGGGCCATTTGGTTTCCATAACTCAAGTCATCTGACTCCTTCCTGGAATGGCCACTTGGGAAGCAGGGCATAGACTTCCTGCTCTGCCACAGAGGGGCCCGTGCCTGGTTTGGGGGCCATGCCAGTCCCAATGCAGCCTCTGCCAATGCCAGTGTGTTGTGTTGTGCTGTTTATGGGGCTGTAATCCATTCTGAGGACAATGCGGGCCCCGCTTCTCTGCTCACTGGGTGGCCATTTCACTTCACTGCTCTCTGGCACCAAGTAGAAACGGTAATGGAGACCAGGAGCTGTGGCACTCTGCATGGCTGTTTGCACCCAGGGAGAAAATTAGACAGGGGTGGGAGCTGGAGACCAGAAGGGTTTTTTTTTTTTTTTTATGAATTCGAAAAACGGATATTTCAGAATTGTAAGCACACCTATGACATATTAGCCTAAATCCTTTGCCATAGGAGTCTGATAATCAGACAGAAATTTGACTTAAGACAGAATTGAAGAATCAGTGATTGCCATTACATTGAACTGCTGAGTGCAAGCTGGGAGGCGGGCATCCTGGAAGCTGGGTACAGGTGAGGGGAGGCCAGAGGAGATGCTGTCTGACAGATTCAGGCTCAGAGCCCAGGTTTTCCTCTGGCTAGTGTGTAACTGGGGTCAGGTTCGTCTACAGGTGGCGACTGGGACATCATTGTGCTGTTGTGTGCAAATAAATAAGAAAGCCTAGTACGTGAGGCTCAGTAAGGACTCGAGAGGCTTCCCTCCACTTTATTACACAGCACCCAAGCCTTACAATCCACTGCAAATGTGAAGACTACAGCTTTCAAAATGCCCAACGTCCGGCCATACTAATGTCGCTTAGACATTAGGAGTTTTGGAGGTGTGTGTGTGTGTGTGTGTGTGTGTGTAACTAAATTAATATCCATCCTTTGTATATACATACAAACGCATTTATAATGATTTTGCTCAACACTGAACAGCCACAGTCTTATCAGATGCATCCATACCCATCCAGAAGGGAGATAGATAACTGTACTACAGTTTGGGGCTCACAAATGCTAATTACCTCAAATGCTAGTTAAATGGGTTAGCACTGCACTGCTAGAGGGGTCTCATCTGGAATTTGAATCTGTTTTGCTGAAATGATGGGGCCTTGAATAGGCTAAATTGGCCTCCAGCAGTGAGCACACCTCAGGACAGAGAACTAGTAATCCCATCACCATAGCGAGGCCTGCTTTAAGGGCAGTGAGCTAAAAATCCGGTACCACACGCTAAAAATCCGGTACCACACTGAAACGAGCCCAGTCCCAGGGTTCTAACCTCACAACAAAATAACATGGTTAGGTTGGGGGAGAAGTTCCGGGCATCTTTCTCTCCCATTTGGTGACTGACTGTCTATGGATTTGGGATAGAACCAAGATTGAAATCCATTAGCCAATGCAAACACCAATCTGTGGATTGTTTTTAAGGCTGATGAAATAATTCAGATACTTTACAAGTCTTGCCAACCTTTTCTTGCTATGAATATGTAGTCTGACAAAAATAAACAGAAAAATAGTCCCTAGTCTTATCTAAGCCTTCAAGAATTGTTGTAAACCCCTGAGAGGAGTTTACATTCCTGCTGCGCTATTTGCATGAGGTAGGAGGACTAAGCCAGGCTCCTCTGCTGTTGCTCTCAGAGCCCCCTCGGTCTAGGGTGCATTTCATGGCTTCTCTGAACCAAGAGTAAGGTCAGTACCAAATTATCAGCTATTTTGTCAACACGGGCCCAAATTAAGGGGAAAGAGGAGTTAGAGTTGGCCGAACAGCTCCCCTGCTCGCTGTCTTCAAACGCTAACAGCTCTGAGGGAAACCAGAGCCAGGGCTCCCTAAGTTGGTGGAATCCAAAGCCTCTGGGTTGAGCTTCATGCAGACACAGGCTGAAAGGAGGTGGCCAAGTGTCCCGCTACCTCAGTTGTCATTTATGAACTCAATGGGTCCTCAAAGGGACCCACGACTGAGAAGAGAGAGGCACACTCCTGGGCAATGTTGAGTGTGGGGCTCTATGCAGGAAGGTTTTCACAGATGGGGATAACAGCTCAGGATTCTAACAGTAGACGTCTGCCTACTTTATGGAACAAAGCAGAGGCTGTGAAATTGGAGCATGACTTCTGCTAAGACAGGCTGAGCAGCGATGGTGAAGGCAAGGGAAAGAGGAAGAGGAGTCAGAACTGAATGTGGACGGCGTGTGGACTGCGTGTGGGCCAAGGTGTCTCACTGCAATGCCCTCCTGTGCTCAGCAGGAACCAGAGGCCACCTTCCAAGGAGAGAACTGGGAGGTTAACCTGGTGCTTACACATGACCCAGAGCCATCTAACACTCCTGGCCTGGAGCTGGAGGGTTTCATGGAGCCCTTACTACCCAGCTGCTGTAAGGTCACAGGTTCGAGGTTAGTGTCCTGGGTCAATGCACTTTTAAGTCAGTAGTTCTGGCCCAGGGGCCCCCAGGCTTTGCTCCCTATCTCCTCTCCCCATCCTGGTCTGTGGGACAGGCTGGAGCAGGACAGAGTCATAGGCAGATGAAGAGTTGAGCTGCAGAGGCCCAGCACAGCTCTGCCACGCATAGGGCTATACCCCAGGCAGCGCCTTCTACCCTGTTCACAGCTTAGAGTGCTCATCTAAA